TTGGCTAAACCCTCTTCGAGGGCAGGTTGCAGATGGACATTCCTTTCGAGGTGTTTGAATTTGGGTATCTCAAATTCTTCCTAGGGAGGGGTCAGACCCCTTTGCGACCTGGAAGCATGTATTGGCATGTCAGTTTGAGCAACTCGAAAGTTGTCACCAAATCGAAGTCTAGGAAAGCGAGTTCGTACGGAGTTCGCGCGGGAACCCCACGGCTGGGCAAGTGAGAAGCAAGGTGGCGGCTTGCCCACTATGAATGGTCAAAACGCAAAGTGAAGGTTAGCAAGAGACGGAGTGCAGAGGGCCCAGGGTCGCTCGTTTGGTTCTTCACCTTTCCCAAATCGCTGGGTTATTTGGTGCCAAATTCCGCAAAGAATGGGAAGTACCTCTAGAAGTATAATAGTGACTTACAACCATTGGCTGGTGGATTCCTGCTCCACGTTCAGGTCCCTCCCTGGTGTTTAAACAGGGTCCCACATAGAAACATGAAGCAGGCCTACGTTTCCCATTCGCAGACTCTCCAAAATGGGTGGGCGGTTGCATAAATGCACCCGAGCAGGTTGTGATGCCCACCAAAAGGCCCAAGCCACCAAACAATTAATACCCATCTAGGTGTTTCATGAAATCGGGACTTCTCAACATGTTTGTTTGTCTTGGGCTCCCATTCAACAAGACAAGGCAATTTTCCCCTTCATCCCTTGATTTTCCGGTTTCTGACTGGAGGTTAGAACCAATCGGCGGACGGTGTCGGCAAATTCGAGTCGAGTCCTAGGCTATGCGGACGGGGTGTGCCTCGGTGCTGATGCCTGCGCTCCCTTGCACACCGGGGCCACCTGTTCCACATGCCTGCCAGGCATGCAAACCAGAGAGAGGAAGCGAAAACAAATCCTTCTTTTGTTGGGGTCGTTTGAGTTTGGGGGGGCAGGGGGGAAACGATCTTAAGGGGGAAGGGGGGGGGGAAAGATCTCAGGAAGGGGAAAAGTTCTTGGGGGGGGGGCAAGTGGGGAAAAGATCTTGGCGGGGGAAAGGGGGGAAAAGATCTTAGAGGGGAAAAGGGAGATAGATCTTAGGGGGGGAAGCAGGCTTGCAAAGTGGGCGATCTGAGCCGGAGGCATAAAATTGATACCATAGAGAGTATCACATGAGAATACTACACTCAAATTGGGTCCGCAACGAACACGTGTAAAAACTGCTTATTCTTTAAAACTCTAGCCTCAGTGCAACCAAGCCCCTTGTTGCCACCGAATCACATGCAACTTCAAGGAAGCGGTGTGAGCAAACAGGACATCCTTGAACTTTGCAAACACGGGCCAGGGAGCTGTAGGGAACCCAAAACCCAAGGGCGACCCAAATCATCCTGGCCTACCTACTGGGTGCCAGTGATCCTGGGCCGAGTCTGGGGAGAGTGGAAAATCATAATAATAATAATAATTAATAATAATAATAATTAATAATAATAATACTAATAATAATAATACTAATGAAAATAATCATAATACTAATACTAATAATAATAATAATAAGAATAATAATAATAATAATAACAATAATAATAATAATAATAATAATAATAATAATAATAACAATAACAATAACACTACCAATAACAATAATAATAATGATAATAATAATAATAACAACAACAACACTAACAATAATACTAGTATTAATAATACTAATAACAACAACAACAATAATACTATTATTATTGATAATAGTAATAATAATAATAATAGTAATACTAATAATAATAATACTAATAATAATAATAATAATAATAATAATACTAATAATAATAATAATAATAATGAAAACAATCCTAATACTAATACTAATACTAATAATAATAAACATAATGATAATAATAAATCATAATAATAATGATGATGATGATAATAATGACACTATTAATGAAAATGATAATGAAATTTAAACATCTAAACGTGTATCTTCTTTTTTCCTTTTTGTTCGCCCCCCCCCCCCTCCTCCCACTTGAAGAGCTGAGTCCACACAGATGCTGAGGGAAGCTCTGAAGAAAGGGCTTCATCAAAGGTTTCTGTGAGAATCCTTCATCATGGAAAGGAATGCAAACCAAAAACACATCTTCATATTAACCAGGCTCCCGCCTGCTGCCGCCGACCCTCGGCGCATTAAGGGAAAAGTCACAAGGACCGGTCCTGAAACACGTCCGCAAACCCAGGGACCACTTATAAGATCCTCTACGACCACAAACAAGGATTAACGGAAAAGTCAGAAATATGGCAGCTAGTCCGTTAATTACCGCTTGGGCCGGCTTGCGCCCAAGTCACTTGGAGTTGGCCCGGGAGCAGTCGCCTCTCCCGGGGTCGCCCTGAAACTGGCCCTCCCGAAGTTGCCCTGGACCGGTCGCCGGCAGGGACCGGGACAGGCTGGTCCCAGTCTGGCGCGGCTTGACTCGACGTATTGGACTCTTTTGCAGAATAGATCCAGGGATCCTCTACTACCACAAGGATTAACGGAAAAGTCAAACAGATGGCAGCCCGTCCGTCAATAACCGCACGGGCCGTTTTGTGCCCAAGTCACGTTGAGCTGGTCCTAGAAACAAGGCCGTCGGTGCCCCTCAACCGTTCGCAGGGAGTGACTGGGACCTGGGACCCTAGTCCGGAAAGGTGTCTGGAGCGGTTTGAGGTGGCACCACAGCAGTTTGAAGTGGGACCCGATACCAGCGGTCACACCAGGACTCGATTCCGGGACCGGCTTCAGTCCTGAAAGCGGTCCAGTCCAGGACCGGTCCAAACCCCGGTCTGGGACTGGTCAGTCCCAGGACCAGTCCCAGGACTGGTCCCAGGACCGGTCCTGGGACTGGTCCCGGACCGGTCCTGGGACCGGGACCGGTTTGCCTCCTGGGACCCCCAGGGACTATCATTGATTCCAATCACTTCCAGTTGCATCCCACGCCGGTCCCCTCTGCAGGAGGCTGGGACGGGAGGCAGAGGGTCGGCGGATTACATAATATGAATTCCCTGAAATCAGCACAAAAACAGGGGCCCAGATAGCCGCCCTTTCTGCAAAATGGGGCCCGGTTGCCCATGTGTTTCCTTGGAAAACAAGCCCGCGACAAAAAAACAGAACCCCTTTTGGTTCCGTTCCTCAAACAACCCCAAGGGTAGCTTTCCATCAACTCAATGCCAGGGCGGAAACTCTCCTCAAACCTCCAAAAGAGTGGATTCCCTTCATGACAACCAAGAAGAAAAGCCCAATCGTTTCCCCTAAGATCTATTCCCCCCTTTCCCCCTTAAGATCTTTCCCCCCCCCTTACCCCCCCTAAGGAATTCCCTTCCCCCCCCCCAAGATCTTTTTCCCCTTTCCGTGTCTAAGGTCTATTCCCCCCTTTCCCCCCCGAAAATATTTTCCCTTTCCGACCCTAAGATCTTTTCCCCCCTCTACCCCCTGACAAAACGGCCCGCAGGGTCAAGGATCATAAGGGAATAGTGGGGAAACAATCTTAGGGGGGGAAGAGGGGGAAAAGATCTTGACAAGATCTTGGGCGGCGGGGTGAGGGAAGGGGGGCGGGGGGGAAGGGGGTGAGGGAAGGGGGGCGGGGAAAAGATCTTGGGGGAGGAGGGGGGGGCGCGGATCTTGGGGGGGGAAAGGGGTGGAACAGATTTTGGGGGCAAGGGGGGAACAGATCTTAGGAGGGGGAAGGGGGGGCATGGCTTCCGGTGTACAGGCCCGATACACAAACAAATTATCTTCTCGCATGCCCTTCAAACGGACGGCTTGAGAAAACCGGCCCTGGGTCATTGACAAAGGACTTCGCACATATGAATATGCCCTCACGATGCACAGCATGTTTCGGGGGCGGTTTGGGCACACTCTTTGTTCAGGCTCACTATGTACGCGCCAGGACTTAACAAGATGTCATCTTGGTTGGGCGCAAAAGCCGAGGCAAACAAAAAGCATCAGAGGCAGCCTAGGTAGATGCATTCTGGATTGGCAGGCAGCAGCAAGATCCACATGTTCATGGCCTTCCCGCGTTGCCTCTCGGGCGTAGTCCATGTGGGCATGTTTTTGTTTCTTTCTCGCAACCCTGTGTGTAATTAGTCGTTTTGGGCGGGGTAGGCGGTCCTTTTGGCCTTGCTGTTGGTTTGAAGTTAGGGTTCCTAATTTTTGGACTGCGGATGTTTCACGCGCGGCCCGTGAGGAACAGAATGTACAACTGGGCCTGGCTCGCAAATTTAGCGGGAGCTCTTGCCCTTTTGGCAATATACCCAACATTTGAAGAAGGTCAAGTAAAGTCATACCGGATAGGGCCAAAGGGGAACTGGAATCGGAACCAAAGACAGACAACTGTAGGGCAAGCGTCAATATCGAGGTCAAGCAAGGTCGACAGCTAAAATAGATTCAGACAGAGCAAAAATAATGCCTATCTATTCTGAGGCTTACATATCTATCGGGGTATGTTCCTGCTTTTCCGTGGCTGGTTCTGGGTTCAGTAGAGTCTTTGGCTTTGGTCGAATCACTGGCGGGCAGGATCGGTGAGCATCCTTTTTGCGGGTATGCTTTCCAGACTAAAATCACCTTTTTGATCCTTTTGGCGGGGAATGCTTTCTGAGCCAGCCTTTGGCGGGAGATGTGAGCTGCGCACGGGAAAGATCGTGCCCTCCTGGCTCCGACTTCTTACCCTCCCACCCTTTTCGCATGGAAGCTGAGGTTCGGGGTCGATGGTCCAGGAGCCCCGGAATATCGAAGGGTTCCATGTGCGCTGCCGAGGTTTCGAAGTTTCGTTGGGCAGCGCCTTGGGCCAGACCTGCTTTGTGGCCCTGGTCCAGGTGGGCTCAATCGTGTTTTGTCAAAGGGAGTTCGATTCAAAAATGTGCCCCTTGAAATACCGACATACCGACTCAAAGGGGCTCATGTTTTCGCTACTTTGAGAGAACCCCCTTAAGGATCGGATCGTTCAGATGGGCAAGCAGAAGGTCGCAAAAGGGAGACTTTGTAGTATTCATTTGTATTGGCCCCCCCCATTAAGGACCATCAAAGGTCGCAACTTTCTCATAGCTGCTCTTATGGCTCTGAATCAGCATTGGGGCGTTCTTTCTTCAGAAAACCCGTTGAAAGGTTCTAGTAGACGGAATTTTTGGTGCTTGCACTGGGGGACAATGTGTGTAGCCTACCCATTTTTTAGAACCCAGTTAGGGAGCACCCCAAATTGCAACGAGCTCTTTTTTGGTGTGGCGCTTGTTATCGTCGCGGTGGGAAGGTCAGGGGCTTGACAAGACATATGGCGGCAACATGCATTCCCTCAGCTCAGATCCCTTGTGAGTGACGGCCAGAAATTGCTCGGTTTGGCGCCAAATTACCCCAACGCTCTGGACTTGTTCGGGCAACGTTGCTTTTCAGGGCCGTAGAAAAATGCACAGTCGAAAGATTGGTGGGGGTTCCTTTGGGGTTTCCACATGCCGATGGTGCAGGGATTTCAGAACCCTGAGCCATTGCCACCACTCGAGCCGCAGGTCTTGATGATCATTTTGCTCACCTGGGCCAACGATCGCAGCGCCTGAGTCATGCAGGGTCCGATGAGTTTTGCGGCGTGGTATTCCCTTTGTTCAAGCGGGGCCAAATAGGAGCCCTCCCAAATGGTTAGTTTCCCTTACTTTACTTTCAAATTGTCCCAGAAAAGATTCCAACACGTGACAGTGTTGAATGGTTGCGACTTGTGTATCCGGGTGAATTGCATTTACCAGCCCAATTTTGCTGAATTCTTGGGCTGGTCTTCTATCCTCATGTTGGAATTCTGCAGCCCTGTTCGAAGGGATAACTCAATTGGGTTGGGTTCCGCTTGCCTCAAACGCACGGACCGTCAAATCAAGGGTCATAGTCGAAACAATCATTGACGGGTGCTAAATGAGCTGAGTTCTATTCCCCCTATTTAGGACGAAACAACAAGGGGAGTGGATGATGCTTGTTTTTTTTGTTATTTCACCATTTTCACCTGCTTCACATCCGAGGTGACACCATTTCTTTGATCTTATTAGTTCTGCGCTTGAGGAAGATCGTGTTCTGAGCGGTTGATCTCAATTCCCATCATCCAGCATCAGTCGGGGGAGGATTGACGAGCTTGACATTGCTGCCTTGTTCAAAAAAGACAACCATTCGATCAAATGATGACCCCACAATGAGATCCGGTTTGGAACAGTTTCGGGACCTTTATTCCATGTGGGTGAATATCATTCGTCACCCATGCTGGAGGTTGGGTCAGGCATGGACATGGTGCCAGTAAACTTGGGGAGCAGGCGAGGAGGTCTGTACGGAAGGCGTCTCAATTTTCAATACTTGAATTTCGATCAAGTTTGGCAATGCCAACCATCATGGCAATCGTACCATCTCTAGCTTCCAGGCGTCCAACTTTTCAACAGCAACCTTCTATGACCTTCCATGGGGTGAAGCAGTCTTTGCTCCTTTGATTTTTCTTGTGTTCCGTGGAAAAAACACAGAGGCCTGCGGATATTTGAAGCCACCGAGGCACACAGGATCAGCTGTGCATGGCGGGCCCCGCAGTGCTGGTTTTGCTGCAAACGCTGCAGATCCATTCCGCGCCTGTCTTCAAAAATGGATCGAAACAGCCGCCGTGGATTTTGTTTCTTCACGGAGCGGGTTCCTGCAGACACCCGAACCTGCTAACACCAGACAACAAACCTTCCAGACACCCGAACCTGTGGTTGCTCTTTGAATCAGCCAAAGGCCCTTCTTTGTCCTTTTTGGGATTGCGATGTCAATCAACGAATCAATATGACTAGTTCTGCTTTTTGGAAGGATCCTTTGTGCACCAACCACACACTTGTTGTTTCTTCTTGGGGGTCCTTTGAGAATCAAGCAACAACTTGTAAGTTTTTTAGCCTTTGGAGGGGGACAGGCATCTGTTTTGTATCAACCAAACACAGGGCTTTCTTTCTAAGGGCTCTGAATCAGCCAAAAGCATGGCTTTTGGGCCGGAGGGGATTCCTGTGTGAAGCAACCATACACAAGGCTTTGTATGGGTTTGAGTCGGTTCTTCGATCATGGTCCTCCAGGTTAAGTATTTTGAAGGTTACAAGTGGCAGATTCAACATCTAGCGTCTATCTTGTTTTGTTTTTAAGCACTGCCTGCTTCAGTCTGAGGTCCTTGCCTATCGGACAGTTTGGATCCGCGGACCAGCGGACATTCTACCCATGGACTTGTACAATGTTGCATTCTGGTCGGTCTGCAGCGGATTCATCACGGGTCCCTGCCTGCTGCTTGGCTTTCCTGCTCACACGGGCAAGGCGGGCCCAAAAGGACCCGGCGTGTTTTTCCAAAATGGTGGGCACGGGCCCCTTTGGAATGAATCACGGGTGGTGGGGAAGGGAGTTTTTTTTTGGGGGGTGAAGACATTCACGGCACAGTTGTGCGCTTTCCCATGCATTCTGCTCTTGGAAGTGCTGTCCAGAGAAATTCGCAGCCAAGCATGTTGGGCACGTGCAAACGTAGCAGAAAGCCAAGGGAAAACGCCAGCGGCGCTTTTTACACCCATCTTGTTCATGAACCCCACCAACTGACGAACCACTTGTATCCCAAAAAGCCTCGGAGCGCTCCAGAACCCTCTCTGAAAAGCCACCCCAGAGCCGATCTGGGCACCCCATAGCTTTCAGCTGTTGGAGAAAAATGTTTGCTTCATTCCTTCGGAGTGAGGGAAGTCATCAAATTGGCCTGCTGTTTCCGAGCGACACTTGCTACTTGGACTCCTGACAACCAGTTTGTCAGCTTCCCCATTTAATTCCCTTTCCAGAAGGATCACACATTGCAGTAGGATTGGTGTTTGGGTGAAGTATCACGGGCTGACCCCTTTTCCGGCACAAGCTGGTTTACCGTCGCAGGGGGTTGGACTTGTATTTGTTTTGGCTCCTGGAAGCCATGACCGCTGACCAATGTTCCCCCTGTCCCGAGGAAACACCTGCTCACCCAAAAAGTTGGCAACATGTTTCTTATAGCTTGGTGAAGTATTTGAATTCACCCAGTGTTGCTTGCTTGTATATAGGGGAACGGTGAACACCTTGTGTGGTTCCCAAAGATGCTGTGTGAGCCTCTTTTTGCGGTGGTTGACTTCGAAAACAAATTTTGGAGACTCTGTATGAGACTAGGACATCAGTTGAAGCTCAAGGACTCGCATACTTGCACGTACACACATATATATATATATAGATATACCGATATATAAAAATACACACATGTATATAGTATAATATAATACACGTAGTACGTATGTATACATATATATATATATGTATTATATATACATACACATGTTGTGCGTATGCAGGCATACATGTGGCTGGCATGCTACATTCGAAGGCTTGATTTCCCAGGATGTTTAGCGGGGTGGGGGGTGCGGGGGGGGGTTAGCTCCTCACCTGGAAGCTTCCTTTCTTCGGTCTCTCTCATTTCTGTGCGTATTTCAGGTTCTGATTCACCTACGGTGCTTCCGATTCTTCCATCTCCTTTCCATTGCTTCTGGTTTCCCTGGCTTGATTCAGCATTGAACCTCCCAGCCACTCACCAAACTTGCATTGAAACAAAGGCTCAATCAAGTGCATCAGCTCTCCCAACCTGCGAACATTGGCTCCTCAGAAAATGAAAGCCGCGCGGAAATCTCAGGCTCCCGTTGTCTGCGTACAACAACCCCCTCGCCACGGAAGCGGACCTTGGGGCCCACGAGGTGGCGATCATCTTCTCAGGGCTGGTGCCCTGTGTGCTAGCGGTGCTGGCGGGCTTTGGTTGCCCCTCAGCCGGTGACATTGTTGGTCCCGCGCGCAAAAAGGGGCCGAATTGGTTGGTTTAGGCCATTTTCCAGGGGAGTTCTCGAAAAATGCACACGTGAAGGGCTGCGGGCCAGTTACACCAGGTGTAACGCGGGATGAGTCGAAAGGTCCAGTTGCTGAAGTAGAGTTTGTCGAGCAGCCGGAGCCACCGCAGCAGCCGGATGGCATCTTGGGCAACCCCAGAATATTCGGAGCCATGGGAGCAAGTTCTTTCTCCCTCTCAGGGTTTGGTGTCCCTCTCAGCCTTGGGAATGGGTAAACATGCACACTAAGTTCCAGGGCCTCGCCCAAGCGCCGCCTTGTTTTTTCTCACTCACGCGGCTTTGTGCTTTTTGGAGGAACTCTGACCTGCTTTTTCTTGCTGGTCCCAGTCCCACAGCCACGCAATGACCTCCACACGAGCCTGAGCTTCCGTTAAGCTTGCCCGCGCGCTTGCGCTGCTGCTCGCCCCAGAAGGCAAAAACGACCTGGAGCGGCTCTTGCGGCCCTTGTAGGTACATCCCGGCGGCAGGTGAGCCTGGATGAAAGGGGATGCTGACAGCGGCCTACCAACTGTCAGCGTGCATCCCTGCGGAATCTTGGCATCGGCCAAGTCGGGCACCTCTTGCAGTTGTTGCCAGGTTCCCTTTGCCACTGGTTTAGCTGGTCCAGCTGGTTCAGCTGGCACTGGTTCAGCTGGCACTGGTTCAGCTGGCACTGGTTCAGCAGGCACTGGTTCAGCTGGCACAGCTGGCTTAGGGCGCTGTTCGCCGCCCTGAGGCGGATCCTTGCGGCCCTGCTGCTTGTGCAGGGCGTCCAGCATGTTGGATAGAAGCTCTGCTTCGCAGTGCACCTCCGGGTTGGCGAACAGCTCCTCCTCGTCGGAGGTGTCCGCAGCTTCGGTTTTGCCCGACTTGCGTTCCTTGAACTTGGCGAGGATCTCCGCAACTCGCTCCTCCGAGTAGCCCAGGTGTCGCAGCAAGCGCTCCGCGCGAGCCTTGTTAGTCAGGCTGCCTGGCGTAGTGCAGCGGGTAGTTACCATCAGGTTACTGAGGGCCTCTGATGAAAGGCCTTGGATGCTGTCTATTTGAATGGCAGCTGATCACACCAGGCATCGGCCGACAGAGTTGGCGGCGTATTTGCGCTGCTTCGAAAAATGCTTTAAAGCACGCGAAACATGAAAACCCGGCAGGTTGTCTGATGCAAA